GGACCTTCATCCATCTTGGTGCTGCTGTTTGAGTGGCTGCCAGTAAAGCAGGAAGTGAGACTGGGTGCAGGTGGGCTTGGGGTAACAGGGGTGGGGCAAGCAAGGCCAGGGAAAGGTGGGTGGTACTCTGGGCAGGAGTTAGGAGAGCTGGGTGCTGCATGCTGAGCCCTTTCCCATGGCTCCATTTCTTGCTGCTGCCCCAGGAGGTCCAGTCTGGCTTTCTGGCTGGACCATGGTGCAGACACACAAGGGAGGGTGGGGATGGTCCCCGTGGCAGGTTTCATCCAGGCCACATGTGCAGGGATGACGCTGGTGCTGCTCCCCAGGCTGTGTCCCTGACACGTGGGGTCAGGGAACCGGGGATGGGGGAAGGGTACTCAGCCAGCAAGTGGCCCTAATTCTGGGTCCTCAGGGGTTATCAAATGAATGTTGCTAGGGATACTCTTTCTAGTGAGGATTCCCTCAGCTGCAAGTGGATGTCTTAGTAATTGGGTGGCACAGTTTGGCCAAGGTGGGAGTGGAAGTGGAAAGGGGCTGGGCAGTGGGGGAGATACGAGGAGTCCCCTCCTGCCCTCCCCCCTCCCCCCGAGCTGCCTGCAGACTCCGTGTCTGGGCTTTTGGTTCTTTCTGGAATGATCTGCCTGCCCCCTAGTGGATTTCTGCAGAGCTTCTCGCTACTTGAAAGGGATTGATGGCAGCTGGAGCCTCCTCCAACAGGAGGGATGTGTACAAAGAGGCACAGGGCAGAGCCTGGAAAGTGGTCATTGTGAAGGAACACAGACATGGGCATCCTTAGCCCCAGGCCACCTCCCCAACCCGGGGGCTACTTGGAGAGGATGGCACCCAGCGCTCAGTCTGTGTGGCCCCGCCCTCCTGCTCTGCCCACATCAACACGGCCCATTGGACTCAAATCCCACTCTGGCTGAGTTTTGAGCAGCTCTGACTTCCATGCACGGGGACTCACCTGTCGCCTCAGCAGCTCCCCCCACTTCTCCTGCCCCTTTGCCCTGTGTTAGTTCTCTGCTGACCTTTGCTGATCTTGCCCTCTGGAAGCCCCTAGGGCTGCAGGGAGAGGGTGGCCCAGCAGCTGAGGGGTCAGAGGGGTCAGCACACGCTGAGAAGGAGGGTTTGGGGGAAGGCTTCCTGGAGGAAGAGACAGAGGAGCAAAGGGCTAGAGAGGAAGGGAGAGTTGGTAGGAAGGGGTGGGAAACAGAAATCTGGAAGAGCATCCAGGCTGGTTCAGGGGTGGGTCAGCAGGGAAGAAGCGGCTCCAGCTGAGGGTGACACCAGCCTGTCCCAGTGCAGGGTCCAGCAGAGCAGATCTGGCATCGTGGGAGGGGGGAGTGGTGAGACCTTGGGCACCTAGCTCATTGGCTCGTCCTTGTGGCATCTTAGCCTCCTGGCACATGCCTGTTCCTGGGCATTGAGCTGAAAGAGTGAGCTGGGGGATTGGGTGTGGAGGGGGTTCTGCTGCCAGCGGGTGAGGCCTGGCAGCTGCTCACCATGCAGAGTGCTGGGAAAGGGTTTTGGTGGATGTGGTTTGGATGGGGGTGGGGGTTGAGGATTTGCAGGCGTTTAGCAAGTGTCAAAAAGGGATAAGGTGGAGAAGGTGGCAAGAGCAGAGCTGTGCATCATGAGGGTGAAGTGGCAGGTGCAGACAGATCTCAAATGCCAGGCTGAAATGTTTTACAAGGATTCCATCCCAAACTGGACCCAGGTGCAGAACCAGGAGGCAAGCGAATCCAGACTTCTGCAGCCTGCATATCTGTCCACTCTGGCAAGAATATCATCTCCTCAGAGGGCCAGAATGTCCCACTGTTCTGGGAACCAACCTCAAGGATAGGAACATGCTCCTGCACCCCCAGACTGGCAGGGGGATGTGTGGGGACCGTGTGGAGCAGCACTGGTGTTTGGTGGCTGTGAAAGTCACCCTCCAGAATTCCCACCTGGCATCCCACCTGGGTCCCACCGGGGTCCATGCACTGAGGCCCATGCAAGTGCTGGCCCAGCTCTGAGGACAACCCACCCATGGTGCCACCCTTACTCCCATTCTGCAGAAGAGAAAGATACATGGCACCTGCCTCCCCAAGAGCTAGGTTAGCTGCACGGGCCAGGTACTTGATTCCCCAGCATCTGTGCTCTCCTGGAAACTGGGCCAGTAATCTCTGGCTCACAGGGAGAGCATGGCTGAGGGGAGGCACGCAACTCCCACCCCAGCCCAGAAGCTCTGTACTGATGTCCCCTCCCCCACTGTGAAAGACCTATACCAACAGACTGGGACCTAGACACACATTACATGTATGGACACAGGCTGTAAGCACAGGCACCCAAACACACACAGAACATGCACAGCTAGAGCTATGAGCATACAGACAGGTCAAGGCACACACGGACCTGGCGGACATGCACGCAGAGCAGGTGCAGAGCCCACAGGCTGGCCGTGACTTGTGAGCTGAGGGTCCTGTGCATGCCAGTGTCTCTGGGGTTGTGGTGGGCCCCTTGGGGATAGGTGCCTCCACAGGCTGTGAAAGCCCACTGGCTGCCTGTTCTGTGGAGGGCACTGATCTCATGTCCGAGACCCTACCCTTGGGACCTGATCACCCCAAAAGCCTTGCCTCCTAATTCCACTACCTTGTGACTGAGGTTTCTGTGTGTGGCTCTGGGAATGGGGGACAGGAACACTCAGCGCCCCGCCTCCTACATGGGAGGCAAGCTGCCTTCTGCTGAGAAGTCTGCGTTCTGGGCCTGTACCTATGCTGGGTGGGTCTCTATCTGCCCATACACATGTCTGTGGGTGCTCCTGGCCTGCCACAGCCAGACCCCCAGAGGGCCACACGAGCTCGTGATGCGGATGAAGAAACCAAGAGACTGAGGTGGATGACACAGGCAGGGCCATGTGTGTCTCCGCTGCTCCTGTGGCTGTGACACACGCACACGCACCGGGGCACCAGGGCCATGTGAGTCTCCTCTGTCTGCTGTGGCAGTGTCCCCCCGCCCAACACACACACACTCATACCATGTACACCTGCCGTGTGTTCCATGGCTGGCCTGCAATTACAGTCTTGTTTGAGTCTCGTGACACCTTGTGAGGTCAGAGGTACTGCTCCCATTTCGCTTTTGAGGGAACCAGGGCTTAAGCAGGCAGGGCCCAAAGTTGTGCAGGTGGAGGCAGGCTGACACCTCCCAGAGCTAAGTGCCCACACAGCACCCACACCTCTACAATCTGCTTCTTACACAGACACACACAGAGGCATCCTGGCCCCAGCAGATGCGCGGTCCTTGTATGGAGCATTCCCTCAGAGACCTCCACCAAGTCAAAGCCGTGATGTCAGCTCCTGCCTCCAAGTGGTCCTCTGAAGAAGGCCGAGCTGGTTTAGGGATTTAGCCTGCCCCTCGGCCCGGCCCTTTCCCCTCAGTCAGAAAATGTATTTCCTGTGTGTGTGTACGCATACCTGCACATACCTGGCCCACCTGCCCTAGAGCCGCCTGTGGGGATTTGGTGAGCAGCTCTGATGCTGGAGGGGTTTAATGTTTTGCTTGCGGGGTTCCTTTTCATTTGTGTTTCCTCTAAGGCAGTGGTCTCATTTTCCTCAGAGCCAAGAAATTCCCTTCTTCCTCCTCCATCCTGAGATTCTGGGCTCCCAGCACACTCACAGACCCTTGGGGCTTAGGCAGGCTGGGGTGGAGAGCCGAAGGAGGCAGGGCACTCAGAGTGCTTTCTCTGGACCAAGTCCTCTATTAGCAACTCTTTGTGTCCGCTCCTGGTCCATTTCATCATCATCATCATTTTTTAAACATTGTATTTATTTGAGAGGTGGAGACATTGAGAAACAATGGAGAGCTCCCAACAGGCGATTCCCCCTCTAAATGTCAGCAACAGTGGGGCTGTGTTGGGAAAAAAAAAAAAAACAAAAAAAAAACAAAACAAAACAAAAAAAAAAACAAGTGCCAGGATGCCATCCACATGGATGGCACAAAACACAATTACCCGAGCCAACAGGGGCTGTGTTAGCAGGAAGCCGGACTCCAGAGGCAGTGCTGGGAATGGAGACCAGGTTCTCCACTGTGGTTTCCAACTTCTTAACTGGTGTCTGAACTGCTGGGTTAAATGCCTGCACCATCAGAGCCCAATAGAAAGCCAAAGAACAAGGCTGAAAGAAGTGCTGTGGGGACAGCAAGGTGGCATTATAGACTATGAGGAGTGGGGCACCAGCATCCCACATAGGCATCGGTTCTAGTCCCAGCTGCTGTACTTCTGATCCAGTTTCCTGTTTATGAGCTGAGAAAGCAGCAGAGGATAGCTAAACTCTTTGGGACCTTACACCCATGTGGGAGACCCGGAAGAAGCTCCTGGTGCCTGGCTCCTGGCTTCAGATTGGCTCAGCTCTAACCATTGTGGCTATTTGGGGAGTGTACCAGCAGATAAAAGATCTCTCTCTCTCTCTCTGTCTCTCCTTCCCTCTGTAAATCTACTTTTCAAATAAAATAAGTAAATTTTTTTAAAAAGTGCGATTACATGAGTAGGTTGCCTAGCTGAATCCAGAGCCCTCATGTGCCTCCAGTTCCATGTACCAGTTTGTTCTTACCCATGACTGGTGCCACCTCTATATGCCACCTGAGGCAGGACACCTCCTCCCTCCCTCCAAGCCTGGGGCTCCCAGCTGAGGAGTGGGGACAGTGATTTTCACTGGCAGACATAATGTGCTCCCCTGAGGACAGAGAAGCCCCGAGTCAGTCACCCAGAGTGAATGCTATGCAAAAGGCAGGTATCACTTCTATTTTATTGTTTCTGTGTCAAGGGGGCAAGTTCACTCTCAGGACTCCTCCAGCAGCACATCAATTCCTCACCTCTCCCTGGCACTTGCTAATGAGTACCTAGTCGGTTACCAGGGAGCTCAGGGATGAATCCTCTGCAGGAAGTGGAGCAGGGATGATGGAGGTGTGTCCAGCCCAGGGATCTCTGAGCAGGTGCAAGCCCCTGGCCCACTTGATGTCTCTCCTCAGGGTGTGGTCAGTGCCTTCCCTGAGCTCTGGGTCCCAGCAGTGCCTTGGTGGGCTTTGGCAAAGGCTGCCCTGATTTCTTGGTTTATGAATTGCTGCCAGGGGTCCCTGCAGAGCAAGGAGAAACAGGAGTCAAAAGCAATCACCCAGAAGCACAGCCGTCAACACCGCGAGCCCAGGCTGCTGCCAGGCAGCTTCTCTCCCTTCCCATCACAGGCAGTTGCAGGGCCTAGCACCACTTCTGCACTTCGACCTTGAGGGACCTCAGACTGCTAGCTGTTGATCTTTGGCATGTGCGATTCTGAGTCCCAGAATCCCAGGAGACAGGGGCTAGTCTCTGTCTGTCCTCTTACATAGTACATGACCTTGGGATGCTCTGGGGTGAGGCACCCAGAGCCCCCCAACTGGTCTCACTTTCCCATTCTCTTCTGCTGCCTGCAGGTGCATGGAACCTGGAGAGCCAACCAGAGGAGGAAGCTGGGATTGAAGGCCCAAAGGGCTACTTAGTGCAGCATCAGCCTGATGTGTGGGGTGTGAGGGCTTTGGTTGCCTCCCCTGACCTCCACCAGCTCCCCTGAACCCCATCAAGACTGACAGCCACATCAGGTATAGCAGTGCCAAGAGGGAACTAAGAGAAGCACCAAAGCAGTTTCAGAGAATGTGGCTTTTTAGGCAAGTCAGGCTCTAACATACAATCCAAGTTGAAATGAGCTAACTGCAGCTCCAGGTCAAGTTCACACCCAGCTGTTCCCCTAGCCCCTCTTGCAGAGACACTGTGTCTGATTGCTGTACCCGCTCACCCAAGCAAGGGAAGGCCTGTGCGTTGGCATCCTCACACCACGGCTGGTGTAGTGTGTGTGCATGCGCAGTGTGCATCTGCGCATGTGTGTTCCCGCACTCATGCACACAGGCCCTATAAGCTCTTGTGCAGGATGTGACTGCAAAAGTTGTTCCCTGCCTGCCTGCGGCCTTGGGAGGATGCTCACCATAATTGATGTCAGCTCTCCTCCCTCCCTGAGCCAAGCAGATGAAAACATTTCTGGCACTTTCTAAGGTTTCTGCCCCAGGAGTGAAAATATCATCAGCTGAGGGAGCTCAGAGGACACGTGGCTGCCAGACTCTGCAAGTCCCCAGGCCCAGGAAAGGATGGCTCTGGCAGGGCAGGGAGCTGGGCTTCCCAGGGGTACCTGCAGGGGATATGGCGGGAGGACACTGGTGCTCATGTTCCTTTGGTGCTGGGCACTGATGGGCAGACCAGCACCACATGCACCATCCAGGAGCTGACGAGACTTTCCTGGAGTGTGGGAGGCCAGCACGCTGGAGGATGGACTGGCATGTGATGTAGGCCTCCACTGGAAAGTGTGACAAGGCACTGGTGTGGGGCATGGTGTGGGGCATGGCTGGCAAAGCCACCACCTGCAACATTGACATCCTATATGGGCACGGGATCATGGCCACCAGTTGCTTCACTTCCAGTCCAGCTCCCTGCTAATGGTCTGGGAAAAGCACCAGAAAATGGCCCATTTGCTTGGGCCCCTGAACCCATGTGGAAGACTCAAGGGAGCTCCTGGCTTCTGGCTTTGGCCTGCAGCCATGGCAGTTGTGGTTACTTGGCAAGGAAGCCAGGAGATGAAGATCTCTCTGCCTTTCCCTTTGTGAAACTCTAGCTTTCAAATAAAGAACCATGTGTTTAAAAAAGAAGAAAGTATGACAAGAGACACCTCCAGACAGAGGTAGCGGGAGAACTGAGACCTGAGCCCCAGAAAGGTGAGTGTGTTTCCTGTGCAGGGTGAAGCATGGGCAAAGGCCCTGGGGCTGAAAGAAGAGAAAGGCTGACACATGGCAGGAGCCTGTGGGTCATGCCCAGATTGGGTCACTGAAGGGGCATCCAGCAATGCTGCGAATGGTACAGGAAGGTGTGTCGAGCACTGGGGAGGTGATGCTTCCGTCCCCGGGAAAGCAACCACAGCAAATGCAAAGCAAACGTGTACAGGTATGTGGCTTTAACTCACCCAGGCTGGATGTCCAGAAGGGCAGGGAGAGGCCTGGTGAAGCCAGCCTTGCCGGTCAGCCAGTAGGTCTCTTGCACACCCTTCCCCTGGGAGACAGAGGAGGCAGCACTGTGAGGACCCCAGGGAGAAGCCAGGGAGGAGAATGGGGAGATAGCCCAGACTCTGCAAGATCAAGTTCCAGCTCCACTGGGCCAGCTCCCTGCTGGCTGTGTGCCTTGGGACAACTTGCTTTCTCTCTCTCTGTGCCCCTGCGTCCCTGCTCTCTCACACAGACCCTGAGGATGGAATCAGTAACCAAAGGGGTCGGCCTCTCCTCTGAGTCTGTGCTCTGGCCTCACCAGGAGAGACCTGCCGATCCCTGGCGATTAGGTGAAAAGGGCGCGTGAGGGGCATCTCTTAGGGGCCCCTGCCATGCCGCTCTGCCATCAAAGTCCTCCATCCCTGGCTCCCAAACAAACTGTTCCTGCTGTGTCTGAGCCCAGCTTGTCCTCACACTGCTGGGCTTCCTGTGGGTGGCTCCCTCTTGCTCACATACCCCCAGTAGGATGCTCTGAGTCCCATGGAGTTCCCTGTCACAGATGTGGGCGTTTAAAGCAGTCTGCCCTGGACTCCCGGGCAGGCCTGGCCCTGGGGGAGGAACTGGGGGACTAGGAGGAGATGTGGTGAGGGGGAAAATCACTCCCAGAAGTATTGTCCCATGTCTCTATTGAATCTCAAAATTCAGATATTCTAGACCTTTCTGAACCCTTAAGGTGCTCAGATTTAACCCCAGGGCAGGTGCCAGGGCAAGGGACAGGTGGGTACATAGAGAAAGTGGAACATTCTGGCAGGGAGAGGTGGTGTCTGAGCTGGAGTTCTGAAAAAAATGAAGAGGAGCTCAATAAGGCTACGGAGAAGAGCCAAGCTTTGGAGTGGCAGGCTGTGTCCCGAGCTGTGTGTGGGCCTTGGACAGGCCACTGACTCACTAATGGGATTTCTCCCATCCCATGGCAGTCATAGCTAGTGTCATTGTGTGTCATGCCTCTGTGGGTAACACAGACGATCCACAGAAGCGATATTTCCGCTCCTTAGGGACAGGCAGTGACTGTGTGAGGGTAGCCTGACATCTGCCTCCCCAGCCCCAAGTAGCTTGAGCAGTCGTATGAGGCCTAACCCCTGGGGGGGACCACGACGCCCACTCACCTTCAGCTCGGTCGGGCCCCTGAGGTCGACCTGATAGCCCTCATCCAGGCTGAGCAGGGTTTGAGCAGCGCTGAGGCTGATGTGGATTCTATAGGCTGGGAAAAGAATGGGGGAAGTCCAGGTCGCCACCTGGTGGCAGCATGCTTGGTGTTTGGTCTAATCAGTGGCTTGTTCAACCCTTGGTACCCCAGGCTGTGATGCCCGCAGCACTCTCAGGCAGCCTCTCTGAGGAGCTCCCACTGCCAACAAGGGTCCAGGGACTCTGAGGTGCCCCCACCGTGGCAGGGTTGGGACTGCCCTGGCAGGACCAGAGTGGCACAGGGCCAGGAGAAAAACCTCAGCCTCAAGGTTGTGTCTCATGGTGAAGATGCGGATGCAGAGCACGTAGCTGCCAGCTGTGGGGCTGGGGCGGGGACCCAGGCCTCCCCCACCCTGAGTCACTCCCTGCTCTGCTAATCCTCCCTTGTGAGATCATCACACAGACCTCGTGGTGAGTGAAGGCAGGCTGCGATGGACAGCATCCCCTCCCGCTGACTGTCCTCGCCCTCGAGTATGGTAACAGGCCACCCTGGGGACCCTGAGGAAGACTCCCAGTCCCCACCCTACTCACGCAGTCCCGTGGTCTCCATCCGGGAGGCAGTGTTGACTGTGTCCCCAAAGAGGCAGTACCGAGGCATGGTGAGACCAACGACCCCTGCCACACAGGGCCCTGCAACCCAAATGTGCATCCATGCGCTTACCCGAGTCCTGGTCAAGACGGGGGTGCCTTGGCAGTCCCCGCCCACCCCCTGACTGCCCCACACCTGCCCCTTGCCTGCTCCCTGCCTTCCCCACTCCTGCCTACTCCCACATCTGCCACCATGCAACTCTGTACTGCTGGGCTCCAGGGAGGGCTGAGGGCTGTCTGCAGTGTCCACTATCCCCAGCTCCAGGCTAGGGTGTGGAGAATGCAGAGAAATCAGCGTTGGATGTACAGGCATGAAGGAGGGCCTCGAGGGAGGCGGGCGAGGTTAGATTGGAGAGGGCTGGGGAGCTGTGGGGATGGGCAGTGCTTTATCCCACAGGTGAGGGGAATCAGGCAAGGAGGAAGGAGTGGGGGCTGGGGAGGGCATGTTAGGGCCTGGGGTCTCTCCCAGGGTTGTCTCAGCAGTTGTTGGCTGTGAGCATGCCTGTGGGACAGTTCTGCCCTGCTTCTTGCATTAGATCATCTGTCAGCTCCATGACCTGGGCCCAAAAGCCCTTGACAGGTACAGAGATACAGAGAAGTAAATCTGGCATGGCAAATTCTTTGATGACACATCAGAGCCTTCAAATAACAGAAGGACAAAAAAGCATACAACTGTTCTAACAGGGCTTAAAAGCTCAGAATTCCCAAAGTGTGCAGGGTCTGTCCCTGAGTGCCCCCCAAGATGGCTGGGATGCATCTGAGCTTGGTACTCTGCACCCCACTCCTGCACCCCCGGCCTTGGCTCTACCTGAGTGCAGGCCAGCCCTGATGTACACAGGCACACCAGGCGCGTGCCTCATGTGGAAGTCGCCCGCAGAGCTGAGGATGTCCAGGGCCATGTTGGCGATCTCGGCTGCGTGCCGGCTTCCGTTGCGCTGAGGCAGCCCCGACACCACCATGTAGGCGTCTCCGATGGTCTCCACCTGTAAGCCACAGTCGGCATGCTCCAGCATCCTCTGCAGCCTGGCCCCCTGCCCTTCATGGGCTTCCTCTGAGACCTGCCCTCCGCCTCTGCCAGCTCTGCACGTTTCAGATCACTTTGCACTTGCTGGCTGCAGATCTACCTCTCAAAGTTAATCCAGAAATCTCTCCCAAGCACCGTCTGTGTTCCAAAAGCTCTGTTCTGGTTGCTGGGAACACAGCTGTGAATGATGCACGGCCTTCTCCCCTGCCACAGGCCAGGCCAGCCAAGGCCAAGGTGAGATCTCCATCCCAAACCTGTCCTGTAGGCTGAAGAATAAGTAGATGTTCGCCCTGTGGCCAAGCGCTTCATTAGAATATGGTGGACGAGAACTATAATGATGTTTCCTAGCCTATAGGGGGCGCTCTAACACTATGCTTCTCATTCTGGACGGCCCCTCTGGCCTACCTTGCCTTGCTGAATCTTTCCCTCACCTGGGTTGGCCTCCACTCCCCACAGGAAGTGATCTGGCCCTTATCACATCACATTCTGCTTTGGATCCTTAAATGGTTTTGCCCTGTGCCAATGGCTTGAAAGTTTACAGCCCACAACCTGGCCATCACGGCCCTCCTATCTATAGTTTCCCCTTATTCCCTAACAGCTGTTCCTGGTGGGCTGGAGCCAAATGGGAATCTCTTTCACTCTTTGAAAAGACATCAGTGCCTGCCCCTCCATCGGCCTCTATTGCTGGTCCTGCTGCCTGGAAAGCACTCCCCAGCGGCCATCTTTGGAACCTATGCCCCACCCCCTGCCTGCTGCTCCCCACCGAAGATCTGCTTGCTGGCAGGAGGAAGGGGCAGAGCTGCCCCTCACCACAGGGAGACAGCCCATTCACTCCACACCCCTGGAAGGAAGATGTGCCAGGCCTGGCTTTCCCCTGTGCCCTGCACTGTTTGCCCTGACAATGTTGGAAGGGGACCAGGGACTCCCTGAATACCCCCATAGCACTTGCTGTATGTTACATGCTGTTCCCAAACCTCTCGCAAATAGAAACCTATTAGAACTTCACAAGAATTCTGAGGAGCTGGTGCTGTGGTATATTGGTTGAAGCCACCTTCTATGACACCACCATCCCCATGTGGGTGCTGGTTCAAGTCCCAGATGCTCTACTTCCATTCAGCTCCCTGCTAGTGGCCTAGGAAAAGCAGTAGAGGATGGCCCAAATGTTTGTGCCTCTGTGCTCATGTGAGAGACCCAGATGAAAGCCCTGGCTCCTGGGCTTTGTCCTGGCCCAGTCCTGGCTGTTCCGGGTATTTGGATAGTTAACTAACAGATGGATGCCTCCTGTTGCTCCCTCCTTCTCTGGAACTCTGACTTTATTTAAGATTGATTTATAGAGATAGAAGGAGAGACGTACAGAGAGATCTTCCATCTGTTGACTCGCTCCACAAATGGCCACAGTTGCAGGAGCTGGACCAGTTCAAAGCTGAGAGCTTGACGTTCTTTCCTGGTTTCCCACATGGATTCAGGGACACAAACACTTAGGCCATTGCCCACTGCTTCCTCAGGCAATTAGCAGGAAGCCAGATTGAAAGTGGAACAGCTAGGTCTCGAACTTGTGGCCATATTGGATGCCAGTACCACAGGCAGAGGATTAGCCTGATACAGTGCTACACTGTACCTGTCTTACATACATCCTTTTTTTAAGATTTATTTATTTTTATTGGAAAGGCAGATGTACAGAGAGGAGAGACAGAGAGAAAACGCCTCCATCCACTGGTTCACTCCCCAGGTGACTGCAATGGCTGGAGCTGTACCTATCCAAAGCCAGGAGCCAAGAGCTTCTTTCAGGACCCCAATGTGGGTACAGAGTCCCCGGCTCTGAAGCCATCCTCTACTGCCTTCCCAGGCCACAAGCAGAGAGAAGGAAGGAAAGTGGAACAGCCAGAATATGAACCGGCACCCGTATGGGACCCTGGTGCATGCAAGGCAAGGACTTTAACCACTAGGCCACTGTGCCGGGCCCTGACATAAATCTTAAAAAAAAAAAATCTGGGGTATGGGTAATACTACTGCATTTTACAAATGAGAAGTAGGCTAGAGAGGCCAAGTCATCTAGCCACCCACAGCGTGGCTAGCACACATCTACGTTATTGCTCCACCCAGCTCCACTTTCCACACCTCGTACCGCTCTTGGTGCCATGGCGTGATCCTCTCCTTCTCTCACTGGTGAGTGGTTCCATTACCATCCAGCAGTGGGGTCAGCCTGGGTGTCAGGGTTGGGGCCTCACTCAAGAGATTCCTGCTGGCTGGTCAGGGGCAATTCGGGCACAGGGCATCTGCCCCAGGGACCAAGCTCTGCCTCAGATGGGTGTCACCTGGTCCCCAGCTGGCCATATTCTTTTAGCTGCTAAACCTGCCTTGTAGACTGAGCACAGCGTAATTTATCACCACTTTCACCCCTAGAGACAGGAGAGAGGGCAGGCCGCAGGCCCAACCCACTGGGAGCCACCTGCCCAGAGGCACCTGTTGGAAGAGGCGTGCTTGGCTGCTGGGAAAGGCTTCTTGACCACAGATGTGGCTCCTGGCACAGACAGGGAGAGGCAAGAGTATTTTGAGGTGAACCTCATGCCACCTCTGCTGTGCTGTGTGACCGGGGTGAGTCCCTGACACTCTCTCAGCCTATGTCCTCACCTGTACAGCCAGGGTAATGATGCTCCCCTTTGAGGGATGTGGAGAGGGCCGGCCGCTGAGGTATCTGATGATACCTAGGCCAGGTTAGCCCTGTGCACACGTTTGCCTGTTACTCTCCCTCTGTGTGCTGGGGGCAGATGCTTGACACTGCACTGGTGAATGAAGGAATGAGTGAGTGAATGCTCTTCTTGTCACATTGCTTCATCAGCAGATCAATCCTAACCTTTTTGTTCCTGTTTTATAAATGAGGGTGTGGATCCAAAGTCGGGATGGGAGACTTCAGTCCAAGGCAAGATCCCCATCAGCCTGAGGGTGCTAGCTAATCCTCCCTTCCTCCCCCTCTTCCCCTCTCACCGCCCCCCCCCCCCTCGCCGCCAGTCCCCGTTCCCTGCCCTGGTCTCATCCATACACCTGCTGGCTCAGCAAGCACCACAGCCTGGGGCAGGATGATGGCAGACCCGACCCTGATTGCTTGGCTGCCGGCCAAGTGGATTAGTGAGAGAGCTGTAACTCGATCCTGTAGCGGGAAGTGTTACGGGCAGGGCTGGAGTGGTGAGAGAGTGCTGGAGCCCCTCCTGGTACCCCAGCCCCTGTCTGGAGGGTGTGCGGGCCCAGCCGCAGACCTGCTGGCCAGAGTTCAGAGCACATCAGAGGCGTGAATCAGAGTGCGGAGCCAAGCAAAGAGACACGACCGACCGGGTGACTCAGGGCACATCAAAGCTGTGCACTCTTAGGGGCAGGCGAGATGAGGAATCTGCGGGGGGGTTGGGGGGGACGGGGGGGGCAGGGCAGCTCTGGAACAGAAGGGAAACTCAGATGATGGGCATGAGACAGTGTGGGGGCAGGGTCCAGGAGGGAGGCTGCCTTGGCAGGGAGCCTGGCTTGGGTCTCTGATGGACGCCTATGGGGCAGTGGTCAGAGCACCTATAGGGGAGGACGATACAGACCGCCCTCCAGGCGGTGGAAGAGCACTGAGGCACATCCAGGACCAGTGGTGGAGCTGCTGCTAGGAAGATGCCCTGGCCAGCTTCTGGAGGGCTCGCAGGCCACAAGGAATCTGTGGCTCTCTCCTTAGGATGTCCAGGAAGTGAAATCTCCTTGGAGAGAAGCCTTAGGACCAGAATGCCAACGCTGTATCCACTGGAACTGTCAGCAGCAAGCTGCTAAACCTCAGCTGCCCCATTTTCCCCGGTCACAACAGGTAGGCACCAGTGTCTACCCTACAGCTTGCTCTGCTGGTGAAATGGGTTAGCACATACAGAACACCTCATACAGTATACAATAGGTGCTCACTAAGTGCTGATGGTGGTTCTTGCCAGAAGACTGCCTACCACACTCCTCTAGGACTTCCTTCTGACCTCTGAAATTTGCTCCCCCAACAAGGGCCTGGCTCTCTGCAGCCTTGTGAAGCCCAGGCCTGTGGAGCCAGAGCACGGCTGTGTTTTGTGGGCCTGCCGTCCCCTTTTCCACCACATTGAGAGCTGTGCAGAGGCCCCCAGCTCCTGAGGCAGAATAGGGGGCACCTGCACTCCAAGCTCAGGAGATCTGCAGATGCTTCTGGGATGCCTTTCTGCTTTTTATTCCACATGTCTACTCCTGGCTGCATCGGAGCCCCCTGGACCTCTCTTGCCTCCCTCTCCCTCCCCTTCCTTCTCCTCCCCTCCCCTCTCCTCCCCTCCCCTCCCCCATCTCTCTTCCACTGTGTGGGCCGCAGGCTGACAACCCCTGGGGAACAGGGCCCAAAGCCAGCCTAGCTGTCTGCTCAGGCATCCCAGGGCCTGCCCATGAGAATGTTAAAGGGCTGGGTGGTGGTCAACTAAACGCCATGGCCAACCATGTGCAACAACCCCTGTGCCCAGTCGGTATGCAAAGTGGCTGGAAGCTGCTCTCGCCCAGCAGCGGAGGGGTCTACTTCCCACCTCTGGAGTCGACCAGGGAGAACAGGTTGTGTCTCCAGAAGCCTTCGTGCAGCTGTGCTCTCAGAATCTGCCACACTGTGAGGACCATCTCAGCTCTGTCTGCTGGAGGATGGGAGGCTCTAGGGACCAGGATGGAGCTCTCCCAGCTGGGGCTCCTGACGGGTGAGGGCAAGATGAACGACACTGCCCTCCTGCCCTCACCCACAGGTGTGAGTCCAGTTGATCTTTTGGTTGATGAGCAGCTTGTTGAACACTGCTGGTCTGGGGATTGTCTGTTATACAGTATTAGCTGGCTGAAGCACACACATAAATGCAGACGCCGCAGCAGAGAGCGGGGTGAGCAGCCCCCTCTTGTCCTCACCTTGTACACATTGTGGTTGCCTAGAATGGCATCGAACAGTGTGTAGAGGTCGTTGAGCAAGGCCACCACCTCCATGGGCTCACTCAGAGCTGCGATGGTAGTGAAACCCACAATATCGCTGAAATAGATGGTAACCTGGTCAAAATACTCCGGCTCCACGGTCTGCCCCATCTTCAGGGCTCTGGCCACAGACCTGCAGGAATGGGAGGTTGCTTTGCTTTGCTTTGCTGTTACAGCTTGGAGATCAGAGAAGACGTGGAATATTTGGGAGGAAATTCTGGGTTGTATGTGTGAGGGCATGGGATGCGCCTAAGGGTGTGCTGGCTGCCCTGCAGCAGGGGCCTGTCCCTCTCTGCAGATCGTGCTTCCATTTGGGTGAGGGGGTGTGTATTGTGCTCTCCTGTTCCCAACAATATAGCAAGCAGAAAGTTAACACTTTTGTGTCCAGCACAGTGGCTAACACACAGCTCTAGAGGCGCATGCTGGATAAGAGAGCATGAATGAGTGTGTTAACAGGACTAGGACTTCCTGGGGCCCTTGCTGGTGCCATGTGTGTGTGTGTGGAGGGGGGTGGGTACTCACGGAGGCAGCATCTGTGCGAGCAGCCGCTCTGTCCGCTGGCGCTCCAGCTGCAGCTCCTGGGTGCGCTCCAGGACCAGGCCCTCCAGGTCCCGTGAGTATTTCTCCAGCATCTGCAGCAGGCAGTCCGCCGTGCCACTCTTCTTGCCTCGGGTGAGGCTTTTGAACTGAAGATGCAACAGAAGCACTGAGTCACCCACCAGCCAGCAGTGGTGCACCTGGCTCTCAGCAGGGCGCCTGGGTCACGGGAGAGAACCAGATGTGGTCCCTGCATGGACGAGCACATGAGTAAGGGGTATGGTGGCTTTGATGAGTCATCAGACTGGGAGAGGGCTTTGCCAAGGGCCCAGTGTTCAGCACAGCAATGCTGTGAACAAGCATGCAACCCTATTGCATTGCTTCCCAAATGCTGCTGTGGGATAGACAGCCTTTGTTCTCCTCCAAGGTAGATGAACAGATGACAGAGAGATAGAGATAGAGAGAGAGAGAGAGACATGCTTGAGTGAGCAGAAGAATGGATGGGTGGCAAATGAATTATATACCCTTTTTCTGCCTATTTTTTCTCTTGTTTCAAAAATGTTTTCTTTTCTTTTCTTTTCTTTTTTAAGAACTAGAGAAAAACAAAAGCAATATCCCAAAGCAAAGTAACAATTGGGATTAAAGCAGAGTGTTCTTCATACTCTACTTCAGGAGTGAGGTCTACATGCAAAAGGTGTGCTGGGATTGTGTCGCCGTTCTGATCCAACTTTCCAACAATGCAGAAGGGAAAACAGACTATGTGACCCATGTGGACACAGCACAGCAGGGCACTAAGCCAGACGCTCTAAAGCAGCACGGTGGCTGACAGCAGAGTGCAGAGAAGGTCTCTCTTGGGTGTTTGCCTGAGGACACTTATGTGGGGGTCAAAAACTGCACCCCCAGGGCATCCTTATAGCAAGCCCATCAGCAGATTTCCTAGGGAGATGCACTGCAGCCTTCCCAGGGTGTTCTGCCCCTGCTCCGGCTGCAGCCCATAGGAGAAGCAAGGCAATAATGGCCAGTGAAGGGGTCCTTGTAGTCTAGTTTCAGGAACTTGAGTGTGTGTGTGTGTGTGTGTGTGTGTGTGTGTGTGTGTGTGCGCGCGCACGCGCCCACACCCAGCCTCTGTCAAGGCCACTCCTTTCTGCCAGAATCTGCATGGTAGGGGGTGGTAGCTGACCCTGAGGGACATCTATTTGGCATTGCCCGTTTCAGCAGAGATATAAAGTTCAGGAGCCAGTGAGGGTGGGCAGGAGAGCTATTGACCTTGAGAACCCAGCAAGTATATGGAGCCTACCACAAGGCCACCTCTGTCGGTAGAAACACAGAGGATCTCTGAGGTAAAGGGCTGACATTGTGGCATAATAGGTTAAACCTCCGCCTGCAATACTGGCCTCTCATATGGGCACCTGTTCGAATCCTAACTGCTCTACTTCCAATCCAGCTCCCTGCTAATGCTCCTGTTGAAGCAGTGGAGAATGGCCCAGGTCCTTGGACCCCTGCACCCATGTGCGTGGCCTGGACAAAGTTCCTGGCTCCTGACTCCTGGCTTTTGCCTGGCCCAGCCAAGCTGATACAGCCATTAGGAGAGTGAATCAGCAGCTGGACTCTTCTCTCTCTCTCTCTTCTCTCTGCAACTCTGTCTTTCAAACATTAGAATCAATCCCGCCCCCCTTTTTTTTAAACAGAGAGGTAAAGTAACCTGCTAAGGAGCACATAGTAGCAGAATTGAAATCAAACTGAGGTATTTCAGATGTTAATTTTTGTCACCAACTATTTATCATTTGGAAAGTTTTTTTTCCATGGTTCCCAAAGGAAGTGCAGGTGCACAACCACGGACTCTGTAAAAGCAATCATTGTCTTCTTTTGTTCCAGTACTCACTTTCTTGTCTAATTGCAGTGGCTAGTACTCCTAGAGCAGAGTGAAGTGAGTGTAACTCAGGTCTTTGCCCTTGACGCCAGTGTTCTTTCTCCCATGCCTCCCTCCCTCAATCTCACCGAGAACTCCTGGTGTTTTCCCGTTCTGTCACTTGGCCATGCCCATCTACTGGGTGAGTCAGGGTTCCCCGGGCTAAGACAGTGCAGGTGTGAGTGCAGCTGGCCTGACCTTTCACCTCCCCAAAGAGTGAAGGGGGGTGTCGTGCTCCATTCAGCTCCCCCTCAGCATTCTTTACCACCATGTTCTACACGAGTGTCTGTCCTCAAGGTCAGCCCTCCCTCAGGTAGGTGCCTTCTCCCCGCCTTACCCTCCTGACCCTCTGCAACCCCTGACAGGTGTCTGGCTGCTCATCTTGGCTCTGCCATGCTCCCTCACGGTGACTGCCCAGCACCATTCTTACCAAGGTCTGGATTTCTCATCTGTATGTTGGGGCACCAGAGCTGAAGCCGGGACAGACTTGTCAAGGTCCTTGCCCTGCTGCTTGCAACTCCTTTCACCAATCTTGGCATTCTCTTACCTGTCGCATCTCTGTGCAACTCCCTATGGTGGCTGGGGGCGGAGAGGGGGAGGGCAGGAAGCAGAGGCTGGGAAGATGCCACCTTTGGGTTTATGGCATACACCCTGGGGGAGCAGCCAGCAAGCTCATTCATGCCCGCACACCCCTGCAGTTGCAGACCTGTATGGACTTGCCTCAGCCCTGCCACCTGCTGTTGGTCCCATAGGCCTGGGGCCCCAGGGCCTTTCACTTCTTCCCCTCCCTGCCTCAGGCACAGCCACCCTGCCTGGCCAGTCCAGGTCCCAGAGAGGACATGAGACCAGCCTGGGGCAAAGAGAAGCAAAGGTCCTAGGAACACCAACCTCGCTGTGGATCTGATCCAGGCTTGGCCTGTCCTCTGGGGCCTCCTCCAAGCACTGCTTCATCAGCTGGATGCACTCGGGCCAGCCCTGCTCGGGGGACACCAGTGGCCGGCACAGGGGAGGAGGACTTGCCACCTTCCTGATGATTTCTGCAACAAACACTTCATGGTGGTGCCTGAGTTCTCCAAGGGGCTCTTGGCAGGTGCTGGTCTCCACACTGAGAGAGGGGAGGCTGGGTAGGCTGAGTGCAGGTTGCTCTTCAGCTCCCTCCTGCACAGGTGAGTCTGGCCAGAGGGCACAGGATGGCTGCTTTCCTGGCTCTGCCCCGGCTGTAGCCAGGGCAAGGGATCTCAGCTTGGGAGCCCAGAGAGATAAGTTTGAATCCTGCTTGTCTGTGACACGGTGGGGAGGACAGTGAGCTCTCTGAGCCTATGTCTCCCCATCTGGGAAGTAAGCCTAGGAGGCTTCCGTTTTGAGACAGGTGGTAAGGGAAGAGATATTGGACATTAGGTACTACCAGGCACCTGCTGCACACTTGATGGTCAGATGCTCTGATTCTGCACCAACTATAACAGAATCCGCACGGGTGGGAGACGTGGTAAGCCCTGCTCTGTCACTATTACTGCCCTGTGCTGTTAGATCAGGTACCCAAGGCTGAGTAGAGGCAGCAGGTGGACAATCAGAGAACAATCTGAGGTCAGGGGAGCCCTGAAGGAGAACAGGGTGGGAGGGAACATTTTTGGGGTTGGGCCTCTGTACTGCAGTCAGAGGAGTGGAGCTGTCTACAGGAGCAAATGGAAATGACTGTCCCAGAAACCCAAGGACTGTCTGCATACGGAAGTGTTCTGGAAGGAGCTCACCTGGACAGGTGGCCCAAACCCTGAGATGAAACAGCCACATCATGGGTACGAGGTACGTGTTCTGTTGGAGGCCTGGGTATTTGTCTCAAGTCTGATAGTGAGTGAGGGATGCAGCTAGGTAGAGGCATCACACACAAGTCTGGGCTGCGTATGGAGGGCAGGAGTTTCTACAGATGTGGCAGAGGAAGGAGCTGAGGCTTCCACCCACAAGCCAGCATCTTCAACTCTGGCAGTTGGTGGCCCGGCTGAAGCCAAGGAGACCCAGTTCTCATGGTCAAACTTAGGTATGCGTGTCTCTGTGGTTGCTGTCTGCTGGATACAGGGGTCCCTTGCTGCTGGGAGACCCCAGCCAGGGACAGGCTAGCGTGAGGAGGACACAGGACATGGTACCTGCTGCCGAGATCCCCAAGGAGCGGTAGGGTGGGCCCTGAGTCAGGACCTCGTGCAGGATGATGCCCATGCTGAAGACGTCCCCTTGGAGGGTGCCCCGTCCAGGGCCCCCAGGCCTCCGCAGCAGCTCAGGAGCTGTCCACAGCAGCTCTGCAAGCACAGGGCAGGGCCACACGGCTGTCACTTGCCACCCTCCCCATCCCCTGTAAGGAGGCAGGGGTCTCCTGTTCTCCCTTGTTCCTAGGCAACTAGAGATGCTTCAGGGAGGAAGAGGCTTCAGCAGGGGCCTCCAAAGGTACTGGTGGCTCCTGTCCACACTGGAGCTGACCTTCTGGGGCTGGCTGGGGTTGCGGAGCCTGTTGAGCGTCCAGGAGCTCTGCATAGCCATGATCAGTGACCTTGAGCACAAAACGCCCATCCACCACACAGTTTCTGGACTTGAGGCGGCCATGAGGGAAGTGTCGATGGTGCAGGTACTGCATGCCCTGCGGTGGACAAGATGAGGGACAAATGGGGGCTGGACACCTGGTCTGGTCCTCTCAGGCTGACCATGTGCCTCAGAAAGCCCTCCTGTTTCACCTTTCCTTTGCCACACCCTTCAGATAGTTCTCAGACCAAGTGGAAAGAACCCAGCTGTGTGAAATGTGAGCCTCTCCACTCTTCTGCCCCACCCCTCCACCCCATCTCCAGGCCCAGGTAGGTTCTCACACGGATCAAATCCAGCAGCAGGGAGGCCTTGAAGGTCCAGTCCAACCGCAGGGTCTTGTTCTGCAACAGGTCCTCCAGGCTGCCCCTGGCACAGTGTTCCAGCACCACAGCACTGACTCCAGAGGTCACGAGCAAGCCCAGACAGGCAGCAACATTCTCATGTCTCAGCTCCTGCATCTGCCAGGGCAAGGGGGTACCTTAGCAGGCCCCACGGCTAGACCAAGCACAGCGCATGTGTAAGCCTCCGGCACAGAGCTGAGCACAGAGAGGCATCAGAAATTCTGAATGGGTGGATGGATGGATGGAAGGATGGGTGGCTGAATGAGTAGATGGGTAGATGAATGGGAAAGTGAGAAAGAAGTAAATGAGTGAATAGAGAGTGGGAGCACTGTGGGTGAGTAAGTGAATGAGCTGCAAACGACTCCAAAGAACGGGTGCTTAGGATGGTTTTCCATTGTATGTGCCATCGTGGATCTGAAAATCATAAATTTTCTCCCCAAAATTAAGGAGCTGAGGCAGAGAAAAAAAGCAGAAGGTGCCAAGCATAAGAAGAAATCAGCCCTCGCATGGCTTTCCAGCAAGTCACAAAACTTAAAGCTGACTTGGGACATCCGTGGTCCCCAAGGCAGGAGAAATGGAACCCGTGGTGGCACAGTCCTCTACACACAGATGATGGGTAGGCTGAGGGGGGAACCTATGTGTAGCATCCTTTAGAGTGTTGCATATTTAGCGTATGTGTGGGTGGGGAATGGCCCCACGCTCTCTGGCCCTCCTGTCCTTAGGAGGTGGCACTATGTCCTGTTCTTTTGACTCTGCACAGGTTCTGGGCTACGGCAACCAACAGTGTTCAGGGCAGGTGGCCTTGCACGCCTCTGGGTTCAGGTGTTAGGACACCAACAGCTTCCATTTCCTGGCTCTAGCAATGTTCTCTGTGGGAGCCCTGGCCAGCCAGGTAAGTGGGCCTTCTACCCGAGTCTCCACCAGGAGAGGCCCTGAGATTGCACAGAGGGGCACCAGCAAAGTTTTCTGCAAGGGTTCAGACAGTAACTATTTGAAGTTTAGACAAAACATATCACAGTCTCTGCCACTGTAGCATGGAAGTCTTGGTGATATATATGGCAACGAACATGGCCAGGTTTTGATAAAGCATGGTTTCTGAGAGCAAGCAGTAGATCTGGTGGGGCTTGTGGGCCGAAGTTGATGAGCCCCTTCTTGCCCTGCTGGATTCTACAATGTGGTCCCCTTTTGATGCTAAACACAACAGAACTGCCTGGCTGAGCCCAGCTCGTATTTCTTACCCACCATTTGTAAAATGTTATGGTGTCAAATGATTGTTTTAATCCCTAACCTTCTGGGGTAGACTGTTCCTTAGTGATAGGTAGCCAATATGGCATACTCAAGGTTCTGAGAAGCACCATGACTACCCGCAAGCCATTTCCAAGTTCATGTGACCACATCTAGGCCCTTTTACTTTTAAGAAATGTTTACTCACTTTGGTTGTAAAACTATGCCCATGAGGAAATGCCCAACTTTACTCTGGTCTTTTAATCTATCTGAACTTTATCCCGAACAGTGAAAAAAGAAAACATAATAAAACTCACCACTTGCTGAAGGCACACATGGCCAGGAATTGTTCTAGGCTATTTCACGTACTTCCTGCCATCCTCAGAACATTCCACAGTAGCTATCCATACCTTTGTGTTAAAGTCCGCTGAGTGGCCCATGGAGTCGGAATTGCTCCACCCCCAGCCTAGACAACCTGGGGGTGATAGCGCTCATATGGTTAGTGACAACAAGGGCCTGGAGGAGGACCCAGCACAGTAGCCTAGTGGCTAAAGTCCTTGCCTTACATATGCTGAGATCCCATATGGGCACCGGTTCGTGTCCCAGCAGCCCCACTTCCTATCCAGCTCCCTGTTCGTGGCCTGGAAAAGCAGTTGAGGACTGGAGGCTCCCTAAGGGAGGGAACTTTGGATCTTGTCATCACCCACAGCACTACCCAGAATACAAGTGGTGCCCAACAGACAGTGAGGAAGGGGACAGATGAGCCAAGGGATGGCAGGTGTGGGATAAGCTCCTAGTTGGTGCCAGGTATACCCTAAGGTGGCACTAACAGGGGAACTGATTCCCAAAGCAGCACCTCCAGCCTGCCCATTCCCTTCCCCCTCCACCTCTGCCCTCTGCAGCCCTACCTTTCTCAGGAGGCTGAGGGTGCGGGGGCGCAGCTCAGAGGTTGTGTCTACTTCCAACATCTTCAACCAGACCCATTCTCCCTGTTCAAAGAATAGCAGCAAGGGGTCAGTGGCTGCTGCTCCAGACCCAGCTGCAGGACCCTGGAGGACACCTGTCTCCTCGGCCTCAGCATCGGCCCCATGCTGCGTTGCTTCCGCATGCTTTAAGCCAACCTAGGCCTGGATGCCCCTGGCTGACTGAGTGATGGTCCCAACTCCTCCACTTCCTCATGTGGGACCTGAGGCTGGTGACATGGGTTCTCTGGGCCGCCTGTTCTCAAATTGCTGAGTTGAGAATGCCTGTGAGGTAGGAGTATCCAGCCTTCAGAGAGGTGGGGGCAGCCAGCTTCAGAGAAGTAGGGTACCCAGCTTTCAGGCACTCCAAGCCCCTCCAGGAGGAGGTGCTCTGTGACTCAAGGACTTGAGGGCAGTGTGGTGGTGGTGGCACAGGAGGAGGTCTCAGGCCAGGTTCAGGGCTTGTCTGGCCTGCCCCGCCATGTCTCCCTCCTCATTGGCTGAGATTGCCCCAGCCCTTGACACCCATGAGGGACCCAGAGTTGAGAACTGCAGGGGGCATCGGTGAAGCAGTGAGCTTGACATCCCTACACCCTGGGTAGTCAGTGTGACACCCTCTCACACCTTGGGCAGTCACAGAGTCTCGGCAACTTTGGGGTTTGCTCCTCTGATCTCTGACTGCCCAAGCCATGCCAGACACTCGCTGAGGAATCCCACAGAAGTCACTGTTTTTATATGCAGGCTTCCCGCTTCTCACTGTGTACCAGGGCTGAGGCATGCAGCTAGACAAGAGGCTCTGGGCTCCTCTGGCTTCTCACACACTCACTATCATTCCCCAGCCTGGGCACAGGATGGCAGAGGCCCTTACCTGGTACAGGGCCACATTGGTGGGCTCCTGGGGGACCAGTAGGTTCCCTGCTGATCCGTGGGGTGCCGATCTCAGGCTGTCACCATCTGCCATGCTTCTTGATTCACTCTCACTGTCCATGTGAGACCTCTAGAGGACACACGTGCAGTCAGGACCTTAGATCCTGTCATGGCCCCCAGGCCCACCATGGCCTGCTCTGCCCACTCACCTGCCTGCCCGGTGGTGGCTGATGGAGAAAGGTGAATTCCTGGGCAGGAAGCAGGATCTGGTGAGGCCCCTTTGCCAGCCGCTGGATACCCCATCTGGAGACAAGAGAAAGCAAGGGCTGGGCAGGTGCTATGAACATGACCTCTGTACCTTGTCTCAGTCTTGGACCAGTCCTGACCCAGAGCCCTCCTCTTCCCTCTCCCTGTTTTCATCTCTCCCAGATACATTGGGGAGGAGGGAAGGGAGTATTTCTAAGCCTCATCTTTCCAGAGATAAGATCTGAAACCCCTGGGCACGGATGTGCTCACCAGTCCCCAAGTGGGATAGCCAGAGTCTGGGGGCTGAGGCCCAGGAAGAGCCTGGATTCTGGAATCCAGGATGATCTAGACTCCAGGGAGAAGCTGGATGTGGCACAGGCCGATTCCTTCATTGAATACAGCAGTGGTCTGAATGCAGCAGGGAATCTTGTCCAAGGTCAAGGACTTGTTCTCCCAGTCTCAGGGGAGGTATTCAGGGCCCTGACAAGTCCTGGCTGTTGGATCGCCCTGAAGTCTGGGTGAAGAGCCCGAGAAAGACCCTGCTCAAGAGTGCCAGGGTTGAACACATGGGAAGGAAAGGAGGAAAGAAGATGTTGTTGTTGTTGTTGCGGGGGGGGGGGGAGAATGGGGCACAGCAGGATAGGACAGGTGTTTACGGAGTCTTACCTGATGAGGTAAGCAAGGACCCCGGTGGCCAGCAGCAGGACACAGACCAGCACCAGAGTGGGGAGACTGCCCAGGGTGTGTGCACCTGTTGGGGGAGCAGGGGTATGTAGAAGCCTTTCCAGTCTTCCCTGGGCTCCCCAGTAGCTTCCACTCTGATGCTCCCTGGGGTGGGTGGATTCTCAGGCATAGGCATGGAGTCCCAGCTTTGCTGTCCATGTCCCCACCCCAGTCACAGGCCCGAGGCCCATGGGCTCTGGTCCTACCACTGCCTCTTCTCTGTCGCTTCCATGAGACAGAGAGTAGCTGGACACAGAGCTGGTGTCCTGGGCACCTGACACAGGTGTGGGCACAGCAGGTGCTGGAGGAAAATGAAGGAATGCATCCTTGACAGGTGGCATCCTGCTTCTTGCACGCTGCTCTGCCCCAGGCTACTCACAAATTGCACATAATGCAAATTCCTAACCTGAGCAGTGGGGCCAAGCAGACCTGGGTGAAAGCTCCTGAGGGCTTCCAGGAGGAGAGCATCATCTGGTCTGCCCAGGGGTGGCAAAGCCCACAAAGGGGTCCCAGCCAGACTGCAGAACCTGTCCCACAAGATAAGGAGGTTTTGTCCTGCCAGATTGGGTGGTGGAGTGGGCAGTGAGAGGGAATAATAAAGTGCTGGGGGAGTTGGGTGGGGAGAGCAGACAAAGGCTAGGTGGGGATGAAGAGGTTGGGGGCACATAAGCAAGCATAGCTGAACCAGAGCTGGCCATCAAAGCTGCCTTGGGGAGTGCAAGAGATCTGTTTATATGCATGTGTGTGAGCACATGTGTGCCTCTCTGTGCATTGGCATGTCAGTGTCATTCTATTGGGAGTGCCCCTGTATGGGGAGAAAGGACAGGAGTGGCTATGACTCTCAGAGATCACAAGGAAAAGAGACCCTGTCCATGGAGTCATGATGCACCAGCCATCATCTCCCAGTGGGACCCAGAGAAGACACTGCCCTCTTCTGAGCTCCAGTTCTCCTCAGTGCCACAAGAACGGTAAGCTAGACACATGGCTACGGTGCAGGCAAAGGGCTCTGAGAGACTGGAACATGCTCTGCCGGCCCATCTAGGGAGGCCTTGCTAATCTTTCTTGGTGCTTCCCAGTCCTCAGCTTAGTCATCTCAGTGAAGAGTCTGCTCCTGCTGCTCACATAAAGCTTTGCACAAAGAGAATGCTGGACAGATGGATGGATGGATGGATGGATGGATGGATGGATGGATGGATGGATGGATAAATGGATGGATGGATTGATAGGTGGATGATGGATGGATAAATGAATGATGGTGTATTGCTGGTTGTGTATGGTGGATGAATGTACAGGTGGGTGGATAAATGGATGGTTGGATGGATGATAGGTGGACAGACTGATGAAGGGTAATAGATGCGTAGTGGATGCATAGAGGATAAGTGGATGATGTATGTTGGATGGGTAGATAGATGAGTAGATGGATGGATGGGTGGATGGATAGATGGATGGATGAATGGGTGGATGGATGGACGGACAGATGGACAAATGGACAGATGGATGGATAAATGGATGGTAGATAGGTAGATAAGTGGGTGAAGATTCACAGATGAAAGATGGATGGATGGAAGATTGTTGAATTACCTCTCATGCATAGCATATTGGGGTCAAACCAGCAGCTGGAGTCACGGGATGGAGGGGCCCCTCCTGGAAAGTGTATGGTCCTGCCCAGGGACTGCACCTCCCATTTGCCTGTGTCCAGGATGTGGGTTGGGACCAGCTGGCTCCCCTGACCATCTGTGTCCAGGATGATGTACTGGACCAGCCTCTGGCCCTTCTTGTCTGTCCGGATTCTCTGGCTGAAGCCAGCCACATCCAGAGCTCCTGTGTAATCCCCTAAGTGAGCCCCTAAGAGTCGTGGCTCACGGCCCTGAGAGCGGTTCAAGGCGTGGATTAGGAGGACAACAGCATCGTAGATGGCTCCGAAGAGTGGTGACACCTGAAGAAGAGAAGGGCCCTCAGCCCCTGACCCGCAGTCAGGAGACCCATGTTAGAAGTGGTTCTCCCTCCTCCAGGAATCCCCCAGTGCCCCCATCCAGCACCCTCACAGTCTGCGTAGCCACCACCCACTGTGACATCCCACAGGCACCTCAGATCTTTCAGCAGGTCCCACGTGAGTCTTACTTAGCAGCTCCACTCTGCCTGCCATTTCTCTCCCACTTGAGAAAGTGGTCTTTGTACCTGCCCCCTTCTTCAAGCTGCTGGTCCCCTACTCCTCACTTCCTCACCTGCAGCTCATCACTATGGCTTTCTGCAAGAACAAGATCCCCAGTGTGGGGGACCTTGTGCCACCTGCACACCTGCCATCTGGCTCTGAGCTTTCCTCCCCCTCACCTGGACCGCACAGGAGCCTCATGAAGGACTCCTAGAATCCTCCTGCCTTTCCCCCAAAATCAGCCAGTGATTTTTTTAAAAAGCAAACCAGAAATCACCAACAGCTTTTCGTTTCACATAGCAGAGGTGCAGTGTCCTTGGCCTGGCCTGCAAGGCCTCAGATGCTTGGGCACCACTCACCATCACCCACAATGGCAGCCCTGCCTCTCCCCCAGCTCCCTCTGTCCCAGACCCTCCTGCACTTCCTGCTTCTGTTTTGGCCACTCTCTCTGCCCACAGACCCTTGCTTGGCTGCTTCCTCCAAGTAGGCTTCTCTGCACTGGCCATCTCTTGTCTCCCACTATTGGCTTCTGACCACTTCATCACGTAATTATCTTTCATTTCCTGGGCAGCCCCATTACTACTTTGATCTGCTTCCTGGTTGCTCGGCTGCTGTCTCTATCTCTCTCTTCCTCTCACAGAATGCCAGGTCTCGTGCTCATCACTGGGTCTCTGATGCCTGCCATGGTGACACAGAAGTGAGACTCAACTCACACTTGTCAGAGGCATGGCAGCCAGCATAAACCCCATCAGCATTACACCCCATCAGCACTCCAAACACTGCTGTCTTCTTGTCACCAATATGCAACCACTCTAGGGGGCACTCAGGGGCAGCTGGCTCCTACAAGGCAAAGCCACAGCCACAGGCGCATGCCCCAATCCCTGGCTTTCTTGTCATCCCTTGCTTTCTCCCGCTCCCAGCACTTCCTCTTTCTGATCTGCCAGAGACACATTGCTAGGAATGTCTATCAGTGGAAGAGCAGCTGAGTCAGAAAGGGAGCTGCAAGGATGGAGAGAGCTGCGCGAAGGAAGACAGAAGTGGGAGAGACGCAAGGTAGGACACAAGGAGAGCAGCCAAGGTAGGGGGTGTGGGAAGGGAGAGTGGCAGAGAGAGCAACACTGCAACATGGGCACCGACACAAGCATGAGAGAGCAAAAGTGAGAAAGTGAGAGCAAGAGTGAGACTATCCCCGGGGCCTTGGTTACACAGGGACCAGCCAGGGCTGACATGCAGCAGGTGAAGACAGATTCTAGACCTGGCTGCTCCACTTCCTGTCCAGCTCCTTGCTAATGCACCTGGGAAAGCAGTGGAGGATGGCCCACACATTTGGGCCCTGCATCTCAGAAGAAGCTCCTGGCTTTAGCCTGCCCTGCTCTGGCCATTGCCGCTGCTGGGGAAGAACTAACAGATAAAAGATCTGACTCTCATTCTACTTCTCCCTTTCTCCCTCTCTCTTCAAATAGCTTTTTCCTTTAAAAAGAGGGTGAACCAAGGTCTGTACCCACAGCAGAGATTGGACTGGATGGCCAGGTGGGGCTCGCTAGGGCCAGGGTAGGAGGGGAGCTGACTGGCAGGTGAAAGTCTGGTGGCCCTACCTGCTCCGGCTCTAGGTGCGCAGCAGCGAGGGCCTCTTCTGTGGAGCCAGATTCCAGAGTTACGGTGAGCACGGCATCGTAGGCCTTTCGCAGGGGCCCATGGGCTGTGAGGGCCGTGTAGGAGCGGTTGCGGTGGGGCAGGGCAAAGAGCAGCGTGTCGTAGGGCAGAAAGACCAGCCTGCCGTCGGCCAGGCCTGCATCCCCCATGTGACCAAGCAGCACGCTCTGCTCCGCACCTCCCAGTAGCGCCGAATGCATGCACAGCACCACGACTGTGGACAGGGGTGGCAGGATGAGCCCCAAGCCCCACCCCAGCCCCACTTGTGCTCCCTGGGCCTGGGCTTCAGCTTAAGAAACTGCTCTAGGTAACAGTGGGCAGTTTCCTCCCCAGGGAACTGGGAAGAAGGGGACTGAGGAAACTGACCAGCACTGGAACCATAGCCAGAAAGGGTCTGGATGTGGCTGGGTCACCCCAGAAAAGTCCAGAAAAATAAAGCACCCAGAAAATCTGGGGGTCTCCAGCATGGGGTCCAAGGACTGGTCCTTCCTTGCATGGAGATCAGAGGCTGGAGCCCCTAGTGTGAGCCAGGAACAGAGCCATGGGCCACCTCTTCTGGGGAGGACCCTCAGAGAGAGATCCTCTAGAACCAGATGGAAATGAACCACCTGCTCTTCCCTGCTCACCATATGTAGAGTTGGGAGCGCTGTTCTGGATTTGGTCACTAGGAGGCTCTGGCCCACAGGGAAACTCAGGAATGGCTGGTAAGCCACACCCACCCAGCACAGGTAGTGTTGAGCCCCACCGAAGCCATGGCCCCATGCAGGAGAGCCTGATCTGTTTCTCTCTTCTTTAGTCTCTCTCTCTCTCTTTCTCTCTCATGGTAGTTTGCATTCACTGACTCCATTTCCTAACCTGAATGGGCCACAACCCCTGGTGTGAAGCAGCACCCAAGTAGGTTCCTTCTTAGAGCTGCAAAGTGGAGCAGGGTTGTGTCACAGGGCTGCTGTGAGGTTACACCCAGAGCCACTGTCAAGAGCTCAGTCCCGTGCCCGACACCAAGGAAGCTCCCTGTGGCAGCATGTGGAGTCTGGGTGCCCAAGGAGGAGGGCTCCGAGTGCACTTACCTTTCAGGCCGTGCACACCCCTGAGCTGCTCCACAACTTCCATGGTCCCCTGGTCCCCAGGTCCCAGAGCAGTCACCAGCTCCACGGGCAGCCCATGTGTCCTGAAGGTTGTGGCCAGCTGCCGGGCAGTGGCCACCCAGATGTCCTGGTGGGATGACACAATGGCCAAACGAGCCCAACTGAAGTATCTCAGGATATGCAGCAGCACGTGGGCAGCAGGAGGCAGGGTGGGCACCAGGTGGGCAGGGTGGGCTCTCTCTGGGGGCCCACATGCCCAGGAAAAGAGAGTTTTGCCCCAGCCTTGGGCCAGCAGGGCTGCCGCTGGGCAGTACTCAGGATTGGCAGGACCCACAAAGGCAGCTGCAGAATTCCTGTGGGTCAGGAATGTGGTCAGGGCACGGGGAGTGTCACAGCCTGTGGGGAGTACCACCGGAGCCAGGTGTAAGCCCAGCAGCAGCGAGGGGTCTTGGTGGGCTCTGTCCACAGCCAGCTGGGCAGCCACTCCAGGCAGGGCCTGGGCAAAGATGGGGTCACAGTCCCAAGGACCCAGCACTCCCAAGGTGAAGGTTTCTGTCCCCCAGGCTGGACAGGGGAAGGGACCAGCCCCTACAAGGATACCCCAAAGCACCACAGACACCAATGGCAGGACAGAAACCTTCCTTGCAATATGGGGAGTGGAGCCCCGGTAGTTCTGGCAGAGCAGGAGCATCCGGTCCCAACCTTCAGTGCAGGAGCCCCCTGCAGCTCTGGGACACTGGGACTCCATGGGCCTGGGGAGCGAAGCACAGGGCAGGTGTGAGCATTGCACCCATCGTGAGCTGTGACGAAAGAGTGGCACACACCTGTATGGCTCCACCTGATCCCCCTACTCACCCCCTTTCTCAGCCCACAGAATGGAAGAGGAAACACAGGGACAGTGTTAGGAAGCAGGTTTGGTGCAGCTCTTCCTCCAGGGCAGGCCATCTGGATGCTAACCTTTCCTCTCCTTACCCCAGCCCCTCCCGGGCGCCTCACAGCCCCTCTTGGTCTCTGCTTTCCTCTCTGTAATTGCTCATTCCCCACCCCTGGACTCAGCCACTTTTCTCCCCATGCCACTGATGCAGCCAGGGCTGGCCACTGTGGATGCCCAGGAAGAGTAGGATCCACTCTCATCCTTAAGAATCTGCCGGGCCAGCAGGGAGGCAGGTCCCAAGCTGAAGGATGAGCTAACGGCTGGTGTGGCAGCAGCAGAAGGGCCAATGGGGAGGGCTCCAGTCCTTAGCAGGCCAATCTGGGGCTACAATCAGAACCAGATCTGCTCCAGGTTCTGTCATTGATGTGCAGCCAGGAGTCTTCAACCCTTGCTGGACCTCCATTTCCCCAAATGTACAGGAAGAACCCTGATATTCAGTGTTTCAATAAAAATCAGGAAGTGGATCATTTTTGTCTTTGCAGATGGCCATGCACCCTCTTACAACTCCTCCCCAAGAGAATAAGTTTCCAGGACCTCCCCCTCCAGGCCCAGCAGGCTAAAGTATCACCCTGTATGCTATCTAGGCCACAAAAAGAATGAGGTCATCAGCTTTACCAGTAGATGAAGGGATACCTCTGCCAGGCTGAGGGTCGCTTCTGCATCCGAGTCACCCATGGTCAGACCCCTAGACCCACCTGCCATGCTGCACTCTGGGGCTGATCCACTGCCTCCTGAGGCTTGCAGGATTCCTACACCAGGGTCCTGGGATGCCAGTCTCTCCAGGCAGGTTCCTTTCCTGTCTCTCTGCAGCCTCTCTCACCATGCCTGCTGCCTGCCAGCTTGCTGAGACTTCTGCCTAGGTAGGGCCTCCTATATGGTTCATTCCCTCCGTGCCCCCTGTGGGGCATGAAGAAGCCACTTGGAAAATTGGATCTGCTCATATCCAAAGGCTTTGGGGAACCACAGGAGGAAAGGGAGCACAAAGGAGAAGGGCTGGCAAGGGCATCTTCAGCACTCTGGACAGCTCCAGATCAGGCTGGGACTCCCAGGAGGCACAGGCTTGGACGAGCACTGAAGAAGGCAGCCTTGCTGAGGCTCTGCCTTGTGCAAGCCTCGGTGTTGACCGCTGTTCACATGGTATCAACATTCTTATCATTTATCCATGAAGTATGACCCAGGGAAGTCAGGGCATCTGAACCAAGGCACAGAGCTAGAAAGTAGCAAGGCTGACTGGGACCCAGGCACACTTATCATGACTCCTCAGGGGCTGGAAAACCTAAGTAGAATGTCCCTGACCTTCCCTCTCAACTGGATGCCATGTAGATTTAGAGGCCTCGGCCAACGGACATGCAAGCTACAAGTCCCCCTGCTTGCTCCTACCCAGGGAAATGCATGAAGGACTCTTAGTGTCGGCCGCATGCTGGGGATCCTACACTCCTGCTTCACCCACCCTTGACAACACCCTTGTAAAGTGGGTGTTTTGCTTTGCTTTTTTCATGGTCCACGTGTGCAAACAGCAGGTCTCATCCAGCATCCTCTTCCTGTTCATCTCCTCCCTGTCTTCCCCACCTGTTCCACACATTGGAGCAACATCCACACATGCCAGGAACAAAGGGCTTTGTTTCCGTGGTGCTTGCCTTCCTTCTAGGAGGGACACTGTGTTTGGGGATCCAACATTGCCACCTCTTCTTCTCTGACATCTGCTGCCAATCTCCAAATTGTCTCCAGTGCCAGCACATTGGCAACCCCTCCTCATCCTAAGCTCCCACTATTCCACTGCTGGCATACTCTGGCTAGATCTGACCTGTTTCTGGCCTCTGATTGTTATGCATAATTTCTGAATGGGATCTTGCCTGTGCCATGATTTGATTTTTTTTCTGATAGTAAGCCCCCAGGCAAAGCCACATTTTTCTTTTGTCCACAGAAGGGGACGTTGTTAAGGTTTGCTTTGATGTGAGCATCTGTTGCCCAGGAAGTCAAGAGTTCAATCCCCAGAGTTTAGTGTCAATGGCATTAAGAGAGAAGAGACTTAATCTAATGATGATGTTGACAGCTGGGGCCTTTGGGAGGTGGTTGGGTTGAATCAGATCGTTAGAGTAAAGCCCCGTTAATTGGTACCTGGGAGCTTTACAGGGACCAAGACAGACGGACAACCCCCTCCGTTGTCTTTGGCCATGTGATGCTCTGTGTTGCCTCAGGACTGTCAGCAAGTGTAATTGCCAGCTGTCAAGCCAATCGGTGTGAGCCTCAAGAGCCATGAATCCAAATCAGCCTCTCTTCCTCGTGGAGTCAGCCTGCCTTGGTATGTCACTGTAGTAGCGAAACACTAGCACAGGGCTCTGGGATGAACAGTGCCCTGTTGCTCAAGAAAGGCATTCATGTTCACACATTCTTTGGATAATTGAGGAGCCTTGCCTTTGGAGACACAGTTGTGTTTGAGTGTTTGGTGTGATCATGACCATGAGTGTGAAGGAATCAGCTATTTTTAAATCATGCATATTGAAGTTTGTACAGGGATTGGCAGGTCAAATTTGCTTGAGATTCGTGCAGAAGGGGGGGGCAAGGTGTGAGAAAACATACCTATCTTGGGGCTGGTGCGGTGGCCTAGTGGCTAAAGTACTCGCCTTGAATGCTCTGGGATCCTATATGGCAACCGGTTCTAATCCCGGCAGCCCCACTTCCCATCCAGCTCCCGTGTGGGAGACCTGGAAGAGTTCCTGGCTCCTGGCTTTGGATTGGCTCAGCACCAACCTTTGCGGTCACTTGGGCAATGAATCATTGGATAGAAGATATTTCTCTGTCTCTCCTCCTCTCTATATATATCTGACTTACCAATAAAAAATAAATAAATCTTAAAAAAATACCTGTCTCAATCTAGGCTGTGGTATATGCGGGTCCCTATTTTTATGTCTATTTGAAAACTTTCATAATTTAAAAAAGCAGCGTTAAGACCAGCGACTAGTGTAGGCATGGAATATTGCCACGTCTGCCTGATTCTTCAGTATGCTAATCCTTTCCTTTCTGGTCCAGCATTTTAAAGCCTGTGCATTGTGTTAGCTTTCCATGACATGTAGCTAACTGCTGCAAATGTAGTGACTGAAAGCAATGCCCCTTTCTTATCTCACAATCTCTGAAGATAAGAAGTCAGGCCATGGCTGAGCTGAGACTTCTGCCAGGGTTGATCTTTTAGAAGGGAGAGAGAGAGACAGACTGACTCCCACTCCTGCTTCCAGCTCATTCCCAGATGTCTACAACAGTTGGGCCTGGGCCAGGCAGCTATCCACGTGGGTGGCAGGGGCCTAATTACTTGATCCGTCATCTGCTGCCTTGTGGGTTGTATTGGGAGCAGATCCAGGGTTTGAACCCAGAGACTCCTTTATATGATGCAAGTGTCCCAGACAGCACCCTAACAACTGTGCTGGATGCCCAGCCCTCTGCTGATCTAATAGGGCAGGGTCTCATCTGGAGGCTTACCCAAAGATGGAGCTCCTCCCACCTCACCCCCAGGGCATTGGCTGCAGGAGCCAGGGTAGCCTTGCTTCTTCAAAACCAACAGCACAGAAAGGCTGCCAGCTGGACAGAGGCCCATGGGGCTTAGGGCCGCCTTGAGGAGCATCTTCCCCTTTGCCTTGTGCTGCTGGCAGGACACAAGTGCCAAGTTCTCCATCTCTTGGGGGCAGTGGGGAGGGGGCATGAACACAAGACGCAGGGCCCAGGGGGCCACTCAGACTGTCTGTTACTCCCCTGCAGCAGTGAAGGCAATGGGCAGCCTGGAGAGGCTAGGAGAGTGGAGTGGCCTCCCTTAGGGATCCCAGTCAGGGCTGGAAGTAGAACCTTGGCCTCCCTGCCAAAGAGCCAGCCTCCTACTTGCCCTTCACCCCCGACTCTGGCATCTCCCTCCCACATCCCCAGGCTACAGGCAGTACCCTGTTCTTCATCCTGAAGTCTCGTCCTGGGAAGCTGAGTTCCTTTCCCCTGAAGGATGCACAGTGGATGAGTACCTGCAGGATTCGCTGCTCTGGGTGTAGCACAGACAACAAGATGATTGGTTGCTCCAGCAGGAACCTAAACTCTCAGACATGGGGCTGTGAGTGACCGCGGGGGACTGCTTGGCATGGAGGGAGCCAGCAGGTGTCATCTGAATGTGGCTAAACTGCGGTTGGTACAGCAATCCTGAGGGAACTGTGCGGGACCTTGGGCACATTGCATAGCCTCTCTGCTCTCCGGGTTTTCCTGTGTGTTATGTGTTTCCACATGAGAGCAGGATGCAAGAAAGTGTGGGAATTTCAGAAGGTCACAGACCCCATAAATCATCATGACCCTCATCGCCATCACTGAGCACTTACTAGGAGCCAATGCAGATGACATGGTGTGAGACGAAGGGCTCAGCGCCCTTGAGTGATGCCAGGAAGGGAGCTGTTCAGAGCCAAGCCAAATTGTACAGGTCAGGAACCCAGCAGCAAGCAGGTGGCAGGGGAAAATAAGATCATTTGTTGACAAGGAAGTATCGTCCATAGACTCCCAGGACGCAGGAGGTGCTGCCCTAAGCCCGGGGTGCATAGCAGTAGAGTGTGGCCTGTCCTCTGCCCAAAGGGTTGAACCGGGGAGGACAGAGACATGAAGGAGGCTGCCCTGGAAGGAGCTGTGACCTTGACTAAAGTTCTGTGGAAAGCAGTAGTGGCAATAAACACCCCATCTCTCTCGTGGCTCCCTTTACTCCACCAGGACTCTTTTGTGCCAAGCTCCACCTGATGCCA